ATATGTGCACTACCAGGTGAAACAATTTATCTACTGTATTTACTGCATTGTATATTGATTTCTGTTTTTTTCTGACTTTTTTTTTTTTTTTGCTCTTTTTTGTTTTGTTTTTGTTGACTAAAGGTTGCAAATACAAAGAAATCCGCAGATGTCTGCAAAGAGATATTGGTAAGTTGGTGCTGATCCTGATTTTACCAGATGTAATTAGCATTCACAAGCAGATGTTTGAATCTAACCACTTAATCAAGAAGCAAGATTTCAACATAAGTTTTAAATGTTGAAAAATAGTCTTTCTGTAAGATGTAGAAAACCTCGACTTTGTAATAATAACAATCTTTGTTGTCATTGCACATGTACAATAGTATTGAATGCAACCCTGTCTGTGCAAAAGTCTGACAATTTAGAGCATGTTGAGTATGTTTTTTTTTGAGTCAAGTTTTACAAGAGAAACTTCTCTTCTTGTTTACAGAGGAGCTCCAGAACCAGGGGGTGCAGGATGTGTTTGTTTTCTGCACAAGAGGAGAGCTTAGCAAATACAGGGTTCCCTCACTGCTGGAGGTCTACCAGCAGCGGGGCTTCAGGGTTCACCACATGCCTTTTCTAGATGGAGACGCACCTGACCTGAACCAGTGCTGCCAGATCCTTGATGAGCTGCAGATCAGCCTCAAGAACGACAGGAGGACAGTGATCCAGTAAGTCAAAACTGAGTTCAGTTTAATGTTCCACACAGTGCGTGATGTCTACCTGCTAATTAGTACAGACAAAGCAGAAAGGAGAGTTAGCATGTAGTACTGTGCAAAAATCTTAAGATTTTTTTTAAAATCTTTTGCTAGTAAAATGGGGGATGTATTAAAATGTGAAACATGTAAACACAACAGAAGATGAAGAAAACAGAGTTTGTACAATTTGAACAAGCTCAAAAGTCAGTATTTGGCATGACCACCTTCATTCTTCAACACACCCTGAGCTAACTTGAGGAAAATATCTTGTTTGTATTTCATGGAAGAGTTCTCCAGGCTTCTTGTACAACATTCAAAGCTCTTCTTTCGATGTTGGCTGCCTTTGGTTCCATTGTGTCAAGATGATCCCACCCTGCTTTCAAAATGTTGAGCTCCAGGCTCTGTGGAGGCCAATCCATGACCGATGGTGTCCCACTGTGTGCTTTTCTATCCAAGAATACTTTTGTTGCAATGGGTGTGTATTTTGGATCATTGCCTTGTGTAACGTTTAATAGCTGTTTCGGACTCACCTTGTTGGTGCAATTATGTTATATTTGGCATTTTCTGTAGATACGATGAAAGAAAACCTTCTGAAAATGTTCAGGTACAAGGACTGGATTCAAAACGAGTGAAAAAGAAGCCAGTGTCCAAAAAAAACTTGAGATCTCCAGAAAGCCTTGAGATCTCTTGTTCAAGAAATTCTGAAATAATTACCCGAAAGACTTAGGGCTCAAGTAGTAGTAGAAAGTATAAGCCTCCAGTAATCATATTTGAAGTAGTGAAGGTTGTTTACATACAGCGGTAAATGATTTAGAATTCTAGAATGAGTGGATGGATATCAGCTGAACTGCTGGGTTGTTCTTTGATCCCATACAAATCGATTTTAAAGCAACAAAATGATTTTGTTTTTCAGTTTCCAGTAAAAGTGTTGACAGGATGCAATTTTATTCTGATTAAGCTTTTTTATTACGCATGACCAGGGTTAAACAGAATTACCTACAAAAGCAGATCAGATTGGATAGTAAAGAGAGGTTTTTGTGTTGCTCTATAAAACCAGGAGATCTGAAGTGAGCAGAGCTTTTACTGTTGTTGCTAAAAGGCCCCTGAGAAGCTCTCAACTCTCCCAGAGAGCTTATAAAGCTGCTCGCTAGGCAACAGGAGGAAACTGGTTGTCCTGAACTTGTATGATATGAGTGGGTTTTAATTTTAATGCTGAGAGGCATCGCTACCACAGTATTCCCTGTCCAGTAGGACACCTTGGTATCATAAAACTTTGAAGTGCCAAATGGCATCATATCACCACAAATACATCTATTTTCAGCTCCTCGGGGCACCTTTCATTATACAATACAACAGTTTTTTTTCTTTAGCTGTCAATTTCATTGGATTTTGTCATTTTCCTTTTCCCTATCTCCTCAGCTGCTACGGGGGCCTGGGACGCTCAGCATTAAGTAAGATTATTATTCTTTTATTTTGAAATTTTCTATAGAACATTCTCTGTCCAACATCAGAAATGTCATGTAACCTAATTTAATGTCACTGCTCCCATCACATGGCTGTTGTTTGCCCTGCAGTCGCTGCCTGCCTGCTGCTTCAGCTCTCTTCCACAATGACGCCAAACAAAGCCATCGAAATCCTCAGGCACCACAGAGGAGGAGGAGCAATACAAACAGTGAGGGTGAGTCGCTGCTTTTCTTCCTCTTCATCTGTAGTTTTTAAGGGGTCATTTTGCTGCTTTTGTTAGTTTATTATAAACTCATATTTCTGTTGGTTTGTACCTTGCAGAGACATTTGATGGTCTAAAATTGACGCGATTAATAAATTAGATTAGAATAGAATTTTTTAGCCCTGCGACAGCCTGGCGACCTGTCCAGGGTGTATCCTGCCTCTTGCCCTAAGCGGGCTATACAGACAGCTGGGATAGGCTCCAGCCCCCTGCGACCCTGACAAGGATAAGCGAAAAGAGAATGGATGGATAGAATTTATTGTCATTGTACACGCACAACAAAGTTGTGGTTAAAAATTAACTCAAAATAAACATCAAAACGCTCAATTCAGTCTGCTCGAGAAAAGAAAAGTATAAACGTGGAAGAACTGCATGTAAAAAATGGACGTAGCTACTGAGCCTCCAACCATTGGTTTGTGTTTTGTGTTTTGAAGCCTCAGCTTTGGCAGATGCTGCAAGCAAGCGGTGGATCTGATGACAAACTGTAAATACTGTTACATACCTATATGAAAGCAGTTTGCTATTCACCTTATTCTAAATCTGATCATTCACTGCGATGTCACTGTTACTCTAAACAGATTGTAATAAGATCTGTAACTAGTGATTAAACCAGAACCTCATGATTTTCAGGTATCTTGCTGCTAGAAGAGTCTTGGGGATCTAATTTATAAATGGAAAAAAAAAAGAAAAAATGCTGCTTATGTAAAATAATCAATTTACACCCAACTGTCACTTTATTAGGTACAGCTTGTTAGTACCTAATATTGGATATTGGGCACTTGCAATGGACCCCTTTGCCTTCATACCTGCCTTAGTTCTTCATTCCACAGATTCAACAAGGTGCTGGAAACACTTCTCAGAGATTTTAGTCCACACTGACACAGTTCCTGGAGATTAGATTGACATCTTGTGACTGTGGAGGCCATTTGAATACAGTGAACTTAATGATATGTTCAAGAAACCTTTATAAGACACTTTGTGACATGGTGTCATCCTGGAAGCACTCATTGGAAGATGGGTACACTGGTCATAAAGGGATGAACATGGTCAGTAATAATTCAGGTATGAAGGGACTCAAATTGTGCCAAGAAAGCGTCCCGTTCACCATTATCCCACCGCCAGGAGCCTGTACCACTAATACAAGGCAGACTAGAGCCATTCTTTCATGCAGTTTACCCCAAATTCTGACCCTACCCCAGGAATCTTGCAGCAGAAATGGAGATTCATGAGACCAGGCAACATTTTTACAGTCCTCTCGATGTGTGAGCATGTGTGAATTGTAGTTTCACTTCCTGTCCTGCTGAGAGAAGTGACATAAAGAGAAGTGACAAGTGCGGTCTTCTGCTGATGTACACTGTCAGAGATGCTCTTCTACTTTCCTTGGATGTGGTTATTTGATTTGTTTTTGTTTTCAGGCTATTCTCTGTAAACCCCAGAGATGGCTGTGTCAACTGCCAGTCAATCAAAACACCATAAATTATAAATAAAGCCTCTGAATTCATGAAGAAAGTATCATCACAGCATTATATAGTCTGATTTATTAAAACTTTAGTCTTTCTGTTGTGTGATCCCTAATTTTCCATTTACCAGCATCTTTTTACTTTTCTGTAGCAATACAACTTCCTTCACGAGTTTCGGGAAAAGTACACAGCCTACCAAAGTGAAAGTGAAGTTCGCTCGGAGCGCTCGGTGTCTCGGTGATTACTGCTCCTGTCTACAGAGCTGGAAAAGTCTCGAGTTCCTCAAGCTTGCTTGTTTGCCGGTGATGCTTTCCTGATTGTGTGGTGGTATGATTATATTCTTGAGAAATGCACTTTAGAATGAACACTGTAATATTTTGCTTTTTATCATCCTCATTATAATTAATTAAAGACTTGATGAGGGGATACTGCTTTATGTTATTAGATGGAAAATGTTGTTTCGTTTATATTGCAAATAAAATAATGGTGTGTGTTAGAAGTGCTATGTCAGCTGGGCAATATATGTGTGTATTTTCCAATGGTCTTTTTATTTAAGGGGAATAAAACTGCACAACAGCTTTTCAGACATCAAGTCTGTCTCTAAATGTGGAGCTTATCAGTTATTTCTAAAATTTCTAAGTTACTTTCTTCATTGAAACCAGAAATTACTCAAATGGGGTCTTTGTGAACTAAATCTAATGATGAAATTAGGCTTGTATGAACTGTAATGGTTCCTTCCTTGTAGCACAAAATCTAATGCTGCAAAGTCAAGTTATGGTTTATTTTTCATCGTATTAAAATATCCCACAATTTATATTTTTCTCTCTACATTCTGTGACTCATACCACTTGTGGACAACACTTGCTGCCTTTTTATACGTGGATGATCATAGGCCAGTGTTATATGGCTTATCAAAAAAGACTGAAAAGAAATGGACTGAAAATGAGTGAAAAAGAAACAAATGTCTGAATAAAAGCCTGAAAATCCACTTTGAATAATTACAAGTCTTGCTCCTTAGAGGCAAAATATAAAGACACGAGGGCTGTCTTAAGGTTTTTTGTTGACATTTGCATAGAAATAACACTCCAGTCCACGTTAACAGAGCAGGATAGTTTATTTAGATTCAAATAAACAATTTCCTAGATGTAATTTGATGTGATCTAACACAAAAACTTCTTTATTTGAATGTGACAAATGATAATCCTTTTCCCTGATAAATTTACATGTTAAACATGACAATAAATACTCTAACATGAATGAAAAAATTTTGCAGTGGCCTAAAACAGTCTAGATTCTGATTCTGGAGATGAGCGATACTGCGAGGAGTGCTTGATATTCTGAAGAATTACTAAAAACAAGAAAAAAGGTCAAATTGAAAACATGAAAAACAAAATGTTGGATCTTCTAACAATGTGGAATATTTGGTGTTGAAATTAAAACGCACAACGACAAAAAGAAATTCAAAGGTACATTCAACAGTATGGCACATCAGCTGATGTCGATCAAAATTTGAATGCCGAAAGGAAAGAAGAGGATAGTGTTCCTTCCTAACGGTGAATACATTAAAGCAGCGGTCCCCAAACCCCGGGCCGGTACTGGTCCGTGGCCCGGGAGAGTTGAGACTCGGGTGTAAAATGTATGGTTTTCAGGGTTTTTAGCGTTATTTTGTTATCGTTTTTTTTGTTAACTCTGTTTTCCTGGGTCTTTTCACGTGTTATGAATAAATCGTTTTTTTCAGTACCGGTAATGGTTTTATTTTGTTGTATTTGTCCGCGACACCTTAAAGGCCGGTCCGTGGCGCAAAAAAGGTTGGGGACCGCTGCATTAAAGTACTGTTGAGTCTACCTTTTATTTAGAGATACCTGCAAGGACGGGTCTACAGATCACACACATGGCGGTCCACACTTAAGAAAACAAATATCAGCAATAGTTTGACAGGGATGCATGGAAACAATACATCAGATAGCTTGAAAGGTGATAACCGACAACCAGACTACTACTGTCCTTGTGCGACACGTTTCGTTAACATGCACTTCAGCCCTCAAAGTGTCACGTTATAAGACCTTCTGCATCTGCGGGCAAGAACAAAAGTCTGTTTTACACTCCGCTGTTCATTTTAGTCATGGTAATGAGTCACGTGGCAGGTGTAAATTGGCTTTTAAAGCCCAGGATCTTATTCACAGAAAAAGCTAATGCAGTTCAGCACACAGCTTAGATTCTCACAGATAAATGCACACCTGAAAATGTCTACCTAGTCTGTAAACACTCAACAGTTGGGAACCGTGATGAAAAAAAACTTTATTTTAAATCCCAAGCATCAAAAAAAAAAAACAAAACAATAAAAAAAAACAGGGAAAAAAAAGAAGAGACAAAGATGTGTCCATTCAGGTCTGTCCGTATTTTCCATAAAAGCTTTGTAACTATAGTGCTATGAGAGGAACACTGCAACCAGGATTCTCTTAAAACTGGCTAAATGTTTCTGAAATGACAGGTTTGTCCACTTGGAAATGGCATCTTGTGTTGCTGAAAGATGGTCTCCAGCAGGTCCAGTGCTCCAGCACTAAGATCATAGTGTCTGGTCGTTTACTGTACATGCAGGTCCTTTTGCTTCATCGCACCATTTAAGAGCTCACCAGAACGTAGATCATCCTGTTGGAGAGAACAAGAGGAATATCTAAATAAGCATCAAGGCTGGTACATAAATCCACAAATTGTTGTTTGACAAAGGAAGACTGAGCGCCTTTTTAAAAGCTGCTGGTAGGCAGATTTTAGACAGAGCCATGCTGCGTTGCTCTCCTGTCACTACTGACTGCCTCTACCTTTCAACAAACAAATAAAGTGGTGTCCACCTCTCTGACAAAACTACCCCAGGATCAACATATCTTCATATCCACACATTTTTTGCACTTCAAACAAAAGCTGCCGTAATGAAGTCCAAGTCTCAAAGATTCTTCTCTCAGTAGATACAAATGAAAAGTAAAGAGCAGAAAAATACGAGTGAAAAACATACCCGTAGAGATAGTAGAAGAATGACAGGAGGTAGAAAGCCAGTTTGCACCAGCCTTCTTTTTGACAGTACGCCAGGATGTCAGCGTTCATGATGGTTGTTGGGTCGTAAAGTCCTGGACAGCTCATCACAGGTCTGCTCATATACCTGCAGAAAGGCAAACATGAAAGCAGCGAGTTACACGCAGATGTGACTTGTTTACAAAGGTTTAGTTAAGTAAAACCAGATGTTGACTCTAGGATCAGTGTTTTCGAATACGTACCTCCAAACATGATAAGCCAGCAGTGGTAAGTTGAGACAGAGGGTGAGCCACTCGGCCGCACAGAAGAACATCACGCAGAAGAAGAAGTGGATAAGATACTCTGGGAGCACCAGCTAAAGGAGCCAAGGAAGAAGAGATTATGTCAATATTCGCATACAGCTGATAGTTCAATTCTCTTGTTCTAATTCTGACTTAGTAATGTACTGTCTAAACAAAGTTAATCAATCCACTCAATGTGTGGAATAAATGCAGAGACTTAAAAATTGAAGCACACTGATCAGAGGACAACACAATGTGATGTAACGAATCCTCAAAGGTAATGAATCCTTTTTACAAGGAGAAAGCGGAGCTATTTAAAGAAGCAGACTTCTAAAAATTGCAGTAGCTGAAAGAATACAAGGACTGAATCACAAATGAACTCTGGTTAAGCTATACTTTTGTGCTTTACATGTGCTATACAGGCCTTTAGTGAGGTCCAGCTTCATCTTATATTATGTAAAACACATAAACACTGCCTTATTTTAACACATGAAACAGGGTGAAAAATTAAAATCATCCATATGCAGATTTTAAGCCATTCCTCACTTGTTTAAAGCTTACAAAAGGTGCCACAGTGAAGCCATATGTGGCTACGCATTGAGAAAATTAATTTGTATAATCGCCTCTTTTAGTCACTGAAGAAACATGTGGTGCTTGCATAATTTTTTTTTTTAATAAACTGTTGCAAATGGATAGAGAACATAGTTAATTTCCCACCCTGGTTATGTCATGCATTATCAAGTGTGACCACAATTAAAGGGGGACAAATTGCTCTGAAGAATATCTGCGCATCCCAACATCGACATTTTCTGCAGTGAGGGTGAACCTACAGATCATTCCACTTCCTGACAAGCGCACTGGACAACACACCAGAGAAGGACCATGCTGTGAGCACGCTTAGCATTGTCGATGCAGCAGCCTGCCTCAGGTTGACAGAGTTCGAGCTGGTTGCGGGGTTCAGGGGGGCAGATGGAGGCGCCACATGGAAGCCATGCATTAAAAATAAGAGCAGAGGGCGGAGAGGAGGGGGCAACCAACAGCCCACAGATGGAAGGGTGAGGGGTGTGTGGGAAAGAGGAAGTTGCAGGAAGGACGGGACGGGCTTTAAATGTGCTGAAATCCTGCACTGTGCTGCCAAATACAAAACAACTGCGCAAAAAATAAATACATTTATTGTGCCAACTGAGCTGAGAAAAAAAGAGGCCAAAACTGCAAATCGGACTGTGGAGCATGTCAAGGCTTAAACGCAGAGGAACCTTCACTTTTCAGCTAAGAATCACTGACCAATCAGAAGCTCTAAATATTGCTGAGCTGGAGAGTGTTTGGATTCTGCAGCCATCTGTTCTGAACCGCAGGTGATGCGGGTTAGAGCCAACACTGAGATCATAAACAGTGGCCTAGGTCTGCTAATTGCTGACTCAAATTGTAGCATTCACCTTGCAGAAAAACAAGTTGTGACATGCATTTAAGAAAACAGATGATTGAAGAATAAAACAAGCGGTCTTCGAAAAATCAAACACGCAAAGTATTTTTTAAAAAAAAGGGGGGAGTTTACAAAATCAAAAGACTAGTGTTCGGGCTGCTGTGATTCTATACCATCCTAACAGTTATGTGCAAGCTGTGCCAGAACTGCTGTTTCAAATGGAAAACAAGATACCCATCTCTCAGAGTTTCCTGGGAATACTCTATACTTGTAACTATATGCAAACAAAGGGTAGGTTGTAATAAAGATCATGCATGTTTTGAGCATTTGCAAGTCTTTTCAGTTAACAGCTATTCTTAATCCATAATCAATAATGAGGACTCTTCGTCCAAGAGTATAGTGCTTACCCACTGTTAGATATCCATTTGCTTCTACGGCCAAAAAAAGGTAGTTCAAGAAAGCTGAAAACATGCCTGTTAGTCAGTGCAATCAGTCTGAAGCTGAACTTTGAGGCGTACAGAAGAGAAATACAAAAGAAGAGATTGAAAAGCCAAAAATAAAACTATAACGACCGTGTAGGTGGGGGGAGGAAATAAAAAGGATACAGGTGAGGCACAGGTGGCATGTTGTCTAATCCCGAGCTGAACCCTGACCTAAAGATTAGTTAACTGAAAAGACGTTTGCAAACACTTCCCCGTGCAAAATGACAAGACTGCAGACTGAGTTGGAACTGAGCGGGCATTTTAAAGATTGGTACAAACCTTTAATGCAATTTTGACTCTTTTAATCTTTTTGACCTTTTCAACTGTCTTTTTGTCGTTAAAAGTGGTTAAAAAAAAAAAAAAGCAGATAAGGAAAAACAAAAAGGCTGTTAGAGTTTGACAGCTGACAAGATCACTGAAGTTATAACAGGCAGGTTATTTAGCATAACAGTGCAGAGAAATGAGAGAAAAAGACAGATAGGTGGATAAAGTTGTACTAAAATAAAGAGAACATCTTTCATCAGAGCATATATGCATGCAAGGAAGGTGTGATAGCTGAAGAGGTGAGATCACTTACCGGATTTAAAGTGTTACATTGATCTATAGGATTCTTGTAGTCAGTCTTCAGCTCATCAAAAGCGATTATCTGAAGGACCAAGGTGATCAATGGTAAAATGTTAAAAAACAGAGACTCAGAGCACAGCAGGTGCAATAATATTTTACCAGGTTACACTACCCATACTGCCCTTGTATACCTTCACAATAAAATTTGATTCAATATGGATAATGCCTTGTATACTGGTGCTGTATTTACTGACTTTCAAAGGGCTTTTAATACCGTTAATCAATAGGTGACAAAAGGTCACCAGCTGGAAATGTTACTTGTGGTGTACCACAAGGATCTATTTCAGGTCTATTACTTTTCCCCATCTACATTAATAACAGGTCTGAAGCTCTGTATTGTGAACTTTTTTTTCCCTAATCCTAACAATATTTAACTAAAATTCTAATCTGTTAGCCTCTGACTACAGGAAAATAAGCTTTGACTTCCTCTTAGGAAAACTGAAGTTATCCTTTTTGCCAGTAACTGCAAACATAACAAGGGCAGAATTCAGTTAGTCAAATGTGACTCTGTTTGAAATTAGCTCAACTAATCATTTAACACATCTAGGGCAAACTAAAAATGTATCATGTACAAGGTAACTGCAAAAATTACACTCCTATATAGACAAAATATTAATTCATCTCAGTAAAAGAAAGGCAAATGATAAATGATCTGTTCTAGTCCAACCAAACTATGACTATGCATGTCACTCATGGTTAATGGCTTTCAGAAAAGACTAAACCCCAAGTTATAATCAGCTCAAACAAACTCATCTGCTATACCCTCAGCTTTGACAAACTTTAGCATAGAATAAAAGCTACTTTTAGGCACCTTTTTTCACAAGGGGTTACGACAGTGGGTAGGCTCCACATTTTTGATTTGGCAGAGTCTTTATGCTGGATGTCCTTCCTGACACAGCCCCAAAGGGATTTCTATCTCCTCCCGAAATCAAACAGAGGATCATTTGCTTGTTAGTAAATGATTCCTCTACATTAAAGTGGTAAAATGTCCCAATAACACGTGTAATATTCACACCAAAACTGCTCCCTTATTCTTTCGCTTGCAGTAACCAGAGACATATTAAAAACAGGAACAAAAAACTTTAAGATGCAGAAAAAAAAAAAGCAGAATCTAAACAAAATAGGTCATTTTATAGAAAATTAATTTACTACATCTTCGGGTATTGGGTAGGCTGTGGCTCAGGTGATAGAATACTTGCCAGGTATCCTTGGGCAAAACACTGAACCCTGATTTCAAGTGTGGATACAATCAGATAAGCTAAATTCTCATATTTAACTTATTTGTGAGGCTGATTTGTTTGAAACATGGTTTGAAATACTTAGAGAGGGTCTTTTACGGAAAGGAGTATGATTACCTTGTATGATGGTATTACTTCAAATAAGCTTTTTAATCAATGATATGAATGAAAATCAAAGAAAATTACTCTTTGGTTTGCATTCAAAAGCAAATTGCATGTTCTCTGTCTTCAAGTTATTTATTCACAATACAACAGGTAAGTTCTCCAATATGACCAGCCAGAAGCAGAAAACTGAAGATATCCAAACTGGAAAGTTTATTTATCTATTTATTTATTATTTATCCCAAGCCACGTCATTGATTACCTCACGCTAGTAAATGACTGAAGAGCTAGTTAATTATTTACAGCTTGTTTAATGTGCTCCAAACTCCCCATGCTTACGTTGGGGTTGTGACTGCAAAACCTGGCGGTATTACACAATGCAGAGATGTGACATGTCGATAAACACATGACAGCCAAACGTTAGCTTAGCATGCTAACTAGCCAACACTGCACTCTGAGCTGGCCATTGATACAAACAAAATAAAGGGGTATAAAACATGTAAAAGTGATGTTGAGCTCTATATGGATGATGGGAAATAGTTTATTAAAAACACGTCTTGGTGTTAAAGCTGCTAACTTGTTGTCCTAGCCGACCGGACAGGGTGTGTGCCATTCATTCCCAGGCTTCGTTAGCTCACTGTTAGCCCGTCGTTCTCATTCTTTCACCTACTTTTACGTCCGCACCGTTTGGCAGGCGACCTAGAAATGTGTACTTACATGCCAGATAGCGAAGAAGATAAGCGCGGCCGTTAGCAGCAGTGCGAGCATGTAGCAAAAGGCCGCGAATGTGAACGCCATTTTTCTCCGGTTCTGCTGGTCGGTTCCTGGCTCGATCAGCGGATGATGCAGGCAGCTTCCCAACCGATTACTGCTGCTTCTTCCCCTTCTTCTTTGAATGTTAGTGGCTGCAAGTCAACCATCTTAAAGCAGGGTGCGTTACCGCCACCTACTGGACCATTTAGTTATCTGAAATCACTTTTAACATGCATTAGCGCCATCTCCTGGAATTGTTTTCTGATCTTCGGTGTTTTCTTTATCTCCTGGAGTCCCACAGTTTCAGGAATAGTGTCCATTGTGTGGTTCTCTATCCAAGTATGCTTTTACTGCATTGGTAGTGTGTTTATGATCATTGTTGTGCTAAAAAATGAAGTCAGGGCCATGATGCATCAAATTCTGATGGTACTTTTCTGTGTTCAGACACCAAGACCATCTCTGATGAAGCTCATATGACCATTTCATTTTGAAAACAGCAGTTTCTGGAAACACATGGGTAAACATCACTGTCATTTTATTTGGACAACAGGACAAGACACTTTTATAAAGTATGGGAAAATACAAATATCTCAAGTTTCACTGATGCCACGAGGCCGCTGGTTATGACAGATGTTTCAGGTGGTTTTTTTTAGTAAAAAGGAAAGAAAATAGAATAGGCATTTAATCAGAGGACACCGAGCGCTGACAACACAATTGCAGGTTAAAGTAAAAAAACAAAAAAAACCACTAGAGGCCAAAAACTATATGCGTTCACCACATAAAGATAAAAAGCTGTTAGAGATCCACAGGACATAACCAGATACATGGCTCAAAACCAAAGGGGGCTCTTCGTTAACTGGACCTTACATCAGGGAGACTGAGTTTGATACATGATGAATGGACAGTTTCTTATACATCCCATTTAAAATAGCAACAGCAGAGGCTTTCTTTTAGAGAAATGAATGTCAGTTTGGACACACTTCAGATATCACACCTGACGACTGTGATGCAAACCTTTTATAGCGTTCATGTGCAAATAAACGATGTCAGAGACTTGGTGTAGCTGTTCAGAAAGCATCGGTAAAGCCTTCTGTAAGGCTTACTTACTTTAAAGCATACACTTCTTCTACAGTAGCTCTCCACATTTTAGAGGTCTTTAGAATTTAGAAAGATAAATATATTCACATCTAACCCAGTACATTGCACATTTCAATTGCATTGAATAAACAGTGTTCATTTCAAGCTGTGCATATTCCTGAATTTACAGACTTTCTGAAGGGTTTTTCAGGTCATATAAAGGTCATTTAATCTAGTGGATTTGTGTTTTTCTGCTATTAGTAGACATTAAAACAAGTGATTACACTTATGTCCCCTTTGCTCCTGTTGGATAAAACCCCGCCCTTACGAATGATGCACGTGGAGCAGTTTGATTGTATGAAAACATCTTTGAGCCAGATCTCTGGGAGAGTTTCTGTTGTTTATGAGGGCAAAGACGCCATCAGAGAAAAACAGGTTTTGGCCTTGCAGCATGGCCTTGGTATGGTAGCCATAGCAATATAATATCATGCACTATCTGGAGAATTTCTGGGCTTTAATTCAGCAATATAATTCAGGGTAAAAGTGGACATGTGTAGTATTATAAAAAAAAAAAGAAGTCTGCTACTCGGGTCACTTACTACTGAGGTTACTCCTGTTTTATCACAATAAAACCAGTCTGTATTATCTGCAATACATGCATAGTACATTCTTATACAGCTCTAACTATCTGGGGCTGGTCATGCTGCTACTAATCCTTTGGGTAGTGTGCTGCACTGGCTTAAATACTGACAATATTCAGCTGGGAACCAAAAGCCAGGAAAAAATGCTGTCCCTTTGGGGCATGAAAAGCCAAATACATCCGTTTGTAAAGTGTCTGAGCTGTGTGCTCCAGCACAATGTATTTTAAAAATGCTCAAAGCTAAGAAAAACTGGGTAAACAAAAACTACAGACTGAGCTGAGCTGAGGATATTAGACATTGGCACAAAAATGAGCTGCTGGCACATTCAATACATAAATATCAGCCTTTCAAAAAAAAAAAAGCTACACCGGTCAAATCCTGCGTCTGCATGGAGAATGTAAATCGGCCAGATGCTGTCATTTACCTGCCAATTCTGGCACATCTGGCGTTTGGAGAAATCGCAGCCGTCATTCTCAAGGCTGCGACAACCATGAAGCAATTCACGTGGCTTTACATACGGATTTAAGCACGACATTCATAAACACCAATAACAGTAAGAGCTATAATGCACGATAGGAGCTAACAATCACCCTAAAGACACAGTAACCCATTTAAACAGAGTCGCCCAGTAGATTAAAATGAGGGCGGGAACTACCACCCTGTGTAATGCAGTGTAATCATCACTGTCATGGTCGCTAGAGACAGAGGTTTTTGTGTGTAACTGTTCACATCTGGAATGTTTCAGTGGAAAATATTGTTTTCCTGGAGTGTTGGATTCTTGTAATAAACATGCAGGTCAAATGCATTACCCACAATTCACACTGTTTTTTTTCTCTCCTCTAAACAGAGATTTTTAAAAAACTGATGACAGACTAACAGGGTTACATCTGCAGCTAAATAAGCACCACTCAAGGGCTTCTGCCAGCTTGTGTTCTTGTGCACAGGAGAAGGTGCAAAACATATCATATAGATAGATGTATTAGTGTTACTGTAAATTATAACTGAAATGCCCTCGATTAAAGGAGAGACGGAATAAAACAAAACTGAATTGTAGCTATGATTGTTCCGAGGTTCTGGCAGGAAGTTTGTCTTTCACAATAAAAGAAATGAAATGAATATAAAGTATATACTTAGCTAACCCTAGAGACACCAGAAATAACTAAATATTTAAAAAAAAAAAAGACTCTCAGATTATTAAAATCTAATGAACATAAAACGGTAAAACTTAGGAGGTTCTGCGTGTAAACATCTAGAAGAAACAGAAAGTGTTGTTAAAAAGTGTTCAATTTCTTTTGAATTGTAGAAATGGTCAATTTCTGCACTTGAAGAGGAATGAGAACATTAATTCTAGGGCTGCCCCGACAAACAAAGACTTTCTTAGTCGAGTAGAAGTTGCAATTATATGTTTGTCATATTAATTTAGGTATTTAAATGTGTATTTTAGGAGGGAGGGCTGAGAAAGAAAAGTGATAGCACAGTAATAACACTTATCCTTTATCTCAAAGTAATCCCACCCTTTAGATTTCCTGTTCATAATATGCAACTATCAGCCAAAGAGCTCAGGGAGTAGCTGTGTAAACAACAATAATATCTGGCACAAATAACTCAGTGTCAGTGTCAATTAATCATGACTTGAGTCTTTGGTTGACTAATGGGGGCAGCCCTCGTTAATTCAAAACAGACACATAAGAGGAATATGGAGAGATTGTATGGAGACAATAACAGACCTGCTTCAAACAGTAGGGTCAGTTTTAGGCTGCCAGATCGGTGAAGTTTAGTAAGTGCCAGAAATGTTGGCAGTCACAGAGAAGCATTCAAACTCTTGTAATTGTGTGCACCTTCTGGCATCTTATGAGTTGTAATGAGCGTTAAACGCCACCGAGCAGGCCTAAAACAGACGACTGCAAACACTATTTAAATCAGGTCTGATGCAGGGAGGAGGGAAAGGTTAACTGTGGTGTGTTGTCTCCAAGAGATGTCACGAGTTGTGCAATCAGGATTCTCCTCGTATCCCAGACCCCTGGAGGAGGTGATGGGTTTAGCGAAAGAACCCAAGTTTCTCTCTAAGCCATTCCTCTGTGAGGTCCTCTGTGTTTCTGATCTCAAACACCTTGAAAAGAAAAGGAAGGACTTTATCACTTTCTCACACGGCTGTGGGGGAGTTTTTACCCATTTTTCTTTACAACATTGCTTCAGTTTATTGAGTTTGCAGGTATGAGTTTATGCACAGCTCTCTTAAACTCCCACCCCACATTTCCCTGCATTTCAATCTAGTTAAGGTCTGATCTTTGACTGGGTCATTGCAACGCCTTGATTCTTTTCTTTTTCAGCCATTCTGTTGTAGATTTGCTGCTGATGTTGGGATCACTGTCCTGTTGCATGACCCAGTTTGGGTTAAGCTTTAGCTGTTGAACAGATGGCCTCACATTTGACTCTAGAATACTTGGGCATACAGAGGAGTTCACCGTGCAGATCCACTGACTGAAAGGTGCCCAAATCATCACCCCTCCACCGCCGTGCTAACAGCTGGGACAAGGTGTTTGTGTGTCTTTCTGTCTAAAGGATATTGTTCCAGACGTCTTGTGATTTCTTTAGATTCTGCTTTGCAGACCTAAGTTGCGCTGCCATGTTCTTTTTAGAGACAAGATGCTTTCTCCTGGTAGCCCTTCAAAACAAGCCATACTTTTTCAGTTTTCTCTGATGAACATTTGAAATGCATAGTGAGGCCTCTATGGACTGAGATGTAGCTCTTAATTTATTTGCAATTTCTCTTAGCATCGCATGCTCTGACCAGATTTGCTGCTATCGGTTAATCAAGTGATTAGCAGCACTCCCCACTTACTCTGTGTGTAGGGGAGTACTTCGTTTTTCACAAGGCTACACAGACCCTGTGAAACTTTCTTTTTCATATGACTACATTACATGGCACATGGCAATCTACACAGCAGTTCTTGACATATTTCAGTTTGGACCACAGTGGTGGGCTGCACTGCCCGTCGATAGATCTATGCAGTTAGCACAACTGATAGAAGTAATTCAAATTTATACCACCAGTTTAAAATTTAAACATTAATGTGGCAAATACAAGAATATAAGAGCTGCACCAAATACACCCATGACACTGGCTCATTCTGTGAAATAAATATTCCAAATCTGGACAAAAAATATTCTCACCTACCTCCTCCTTTAGTTGATTTTTTTAAATACAGTGTTTTAAGCATTTCTAGAATTTTACAAGGTCTCAAAGTCACATGGATTTTTATACATTTTAATTTGTGTTATTTCTTTTTGAGCCCTCATAATTTCATAGGTAGAGGAAATAGCCACATTACATTTAGAGTGGGCTATACCATTTCACCAGTTTGATGTCAGCAGTGACATTAAACTGGTGTATCATAAAACTCAAGTCAATTTATATATAAGCACATTTAGAAACAACAGGGATTGACCTAAGTGCTATACAACTATGAATAAATCAGAAAAGGAAAAATACTGAAAAATAGAAAACAAACAACACAGAAACAAAAGAAAAATATCAAAACTCAGTCTTATTTAAAACCTTTACTAACCTTGGTCAGTTCGACAGTCTGCACCAGCTTGTTTTTGCTTCCTGCGTACATCATCTGCTGCTCTGGTCTGCAACCTGCCAAACACAAAATCAGCAACTTTGACAAAAGTTTAGCAAACTGTAGTTGCCTAAGTTTTGCTCTAAGTGTACGTATATTTAAAAAGTAATCTCAGAGAGGTTCATACCCACGGGGCTGGAGAAGATGAAGCAGAGGGGATAAGACACACGCCCGTCGTCATGTTCGTACTTATAACTGTAGACGATAAATGTTCCTGGTGCTAAGGACTGAAACTAACCAACATAGATAGATCACATGTAAGACAAACCCACTGCCTAACCGTTCCATACGACATACAGGCTGCTTACAACGATTATAATTCATTTTATGCTGACAAAATATTGTTAAAATAAGATCTATTCAAAGGATATCTTGGCTGTCTCTCTGGCAGCTCGTCCTTTAGATCATCAGGAGAAATATCCTAAAACAAACAGAAAGAGTTCAGTTGACATTATCAAGAAAAGCAATCATCTACTAACATCCAGCACCTGGCAGGCTGTCAGGTCAGAGCTTAATGAGTTCACCGTCACGTCTTTCAAACCATACACTGCTATCTAATTAAACATTTACATTTTAAACCTGATTTTTTAAATATTGTTGCAAGTATTTGAAAGATAGAGTAATATAAAGCTCACCTTATGCTCTTCCTCCAGAATAACCAGCTGCTTGTCTTTATCAATCTTCACTGAATGGTACAACAAGAATATAAAAACTGCATTAAAACAGTCACATTTTACAAGCAGTTGTTTAGTGCTTCAAAAATGATGATGATCAAGGGGGGAGAAATCAATATTTTGGGCTGCAAAGCTCTAAAACGTGACCCTACGTCTGAGTCCATGTCGTGCAAACAAACGGCTAATCCCATTTGACATTTTGATCCAGAGATGGATTAAGCTCAGGTTTGATACACACAGCCTGCTGCATTTGGAGGCAACTCATTCTTTCCTGCATACAGAACAGCAGCTACCTTATAGTTGTTAATACCAGGAACATTTTCTTTTGTGCTATATTTATAACATTTGACTTTAACTGCAACAAACCACAGAGAACTGTACAATCCATGTCAAACCACAGAATGCTCACAATTACATTGTAACCACTGCTGACTGAACTGCTGCCCATCTTGGCGAGGACACTCTTTTTTTAATCTCAAGAGTCACACAAGTTACCAATCTAGAAGCTCTACGAGTATTAAAAGCTCCCTTGTGGAAAACAAAAAACGAATTTCAAGTTACTCTAATTTTAATGACTCAGATTAAAAATTCAGGAGAGACACTGCTCAGAGTCAGTGACTTACTGATGATCGCTGCATTGTTGGTCTCCTTCCGGAAACGAAACTCCCTCAGCTTTTTAACCAGATCTTCATCCACTTCACACACTACCAGTGATTCACTCTGATCCGGCGTGGGAAAACAAGGCAATGGAAACAAATAAATGAATTTCAAATAAATTAACAGTTTAATATACAAGTCACTTGACACACAAATTAAACTGTATATTACTTCTTTGGGGGTTGATGCAAAGTTAAACAAAAGTTTGCCTATTTATTTTGGAGAAGGTAGTTTTCATTTGGATTAAACTACATTAGTGCGCAAATGTCTTGAGTCCCCCATCATTTATTATTTATATTTTGCTTCCAAGCATTCAGACTTTCTTGTATTTTTTAAACTGGTCTTGAGAAATAGCTCCTCTGCTTTTTAATGATTTCAGAGGAATCTTTATTTTTTATTTTGTGTGATAAGCAGTTGACATATTAATCATTCAAGCATTTAAAAGGGCACCTATGAAGGAATTACAGTCAACTTACCAAAGAACTATCATATATCTACAGCTGATGAATGGTATTTTAAAGAAACAGGAAAAGAATCCACCAACGACCTGAAACACAAGACCAGAGATATGCATCTGGCCCTTCACCTGAATCCTCATACTTTTCACTCAGTCCTGATCAGCAATGGCCTCAGTGGAAGGGCGACTGTCAAGAAACCATTTCTAACAAAAACAGCTACGGTGGAGCTACGGTGTTGGTGATGTTGTCAAAAGTGTTAGAGTGTCAAATTTTGATCCTACCATCTAGAAATTAACTGATATGCAACAGCTGATTTTTTTATATGACAATGATCCCAAAGGAACTGTCATGGATTGGCATCCCAAGACCTCAGACGTCAACATTACTGAAGCAGTGTGGGATCATCATGGCAGAGAACAGAAGAAAAGGCAGGCAGATTTCAAAGAAGAGCTTTGAATAACTTTCAATAACCCTGGAGAACTATTCCTTGAAAATTCCTCAAAGAAATCACAAGAAAGCTTGGCTAAAAGCGTTCAGACTGAAGAATAAAGGCAGTATTAAGTATTCACTATACGTTCATTGGAATTGTACAAACTCTGTTTTTGCCTTACATACTGTAATTCCATGCATGTTTGCACATTTCAATAAACTGTCACACGCATTTCACGTTTCACAAAACATAAAGACATGAGGGGGGCAGCCTAAAGTACTGTAAAGCAAATATTCTAGCAGCGCCATAATAAAGTCAGAACATTCATGCATGTTTGACTTTTTCCTGATGTGAGGTAGATAATTTTATATAGTCAATAATACTGTGGCTCAATAGTTCCAGACTGCTGGGGGATTCCCATGATGCATGGGTCTGCTGGAGGTTTCTTCCTGTTAAAGGGAGTTTTTCCTTCCCACTGTCGCCAAAGCGCTTCTTATAGGTGCTCATATGATTTTACCTGTTGTATTATTGTAGGGTCTACCTTACAGTATAAAGCGCCTTGAGGCAACTGTTGTTGTGATTTGATGCTGTATAAATAAAACTGAATTGAATTGAATAATGAAGTGGAAAACAAAAAACACCACTATTACTGCATTGATGTGATATTAGTAACAAAACACAGTTGCAGTAGTAGATATAAAGAGCATCTTACACACTGTGACATTCAAGCAGAAAATGAAACCAGCAGAAATTTTACATTCCTCCTAATGTACTGCTATATGTGTTAATTTTAATTAATATTTGAAGACAGCTTATCGGTAAGAAAGACAGCTGCAGAGTCCCAGATTGTGGCTTTAAGTGGTTTTCATGCAATTTACTACTTTGCCATAGCAGCTATATCCTGAATTAGTGAGCCAGGGTAAAAGAAAACAACAACAAAAAAACCCACCAATGCTGGTGCAATTTTTTGTTTCATGTAAATATTTCTGTCATGTTTACAGTTCCAACCTCAAAACGGAAACTCCATGTTTTGGATTTAAAAGATTTGTACTTTAAGCTACGGGTGTTGCCAATTCGTGAGGAGCTTCACGTCTTCTTGACCTCTGCTTAACTTTGCTGTGTCTTTGTGAGATATGTTATCCTGTGTTTGTGTATAGTAGTGTAATAGAGAAAAAAAGGAAAAAAATTATAAAACAGAGGCTTTTTAAGAACACCGAATAATCAGCATGTCTCTTCCTGAAAAAGTCCAATATGACGCACAGGATTTCATCCAAAAAACAAATAAATCGATTAAATTAAATGAAAAAATCAATGCACCACCCTGAACAGGATTTCATTTCTCTGAACCTTTGTCACGTCCACACACAACATTACATAACACCATCATAAAGACATAAACTCTCCACGAGTCTCTTCAGACTCTCTGAAATCTATAATTACACCTTGGAGAACAGATGGCTGGTGGGAGTCGGGATTTCACTGAGCTCAAGGAAAGATCTTCATAGATTAAAAGGAGGCTGGAGTGTCTGTGGCTGCTGGGACTCTTTAAAAACAGGATGCATGGGGAAGGGATTAGGGACAGCCAGGACAATGAAAGCTGGGGATGGCCGAAGGGTTACTTCTGGTTCAAATTCCTCCAGTCAATGACAGCTAGCTCATGAGTTTGGCTGCCAATTCAACCAGGAAATGAGAGCCAGTTAACTTAAACCACCAGTTAATAATGTACCC